CCTAAGTAGCTCCAGCCAGGAGGGGAGCTCAGCGTCGTCACCAAACACTGTACGCCAAGTGTCGCTCAAACGGGCGAAGCAGCGGGACTCTGTGTGACCAGGAGTCCCGCAAGGCTGACCAGTCCGGACACCCGTGCGAATGACGTAGGGGCAGCGAGCAGTACTCAGTGACCCTCCACTCTGCGCGTACCACTCGCGAAGCTGCTGGGGCGAAAGGGTCTTGCGCGGACGACGCTGCGACTGCACTTGGGCACGACAAGAAGCTCCCGAACTACTCACTCCAGGACGACTCCCACTACGGCCTCCCCGGCAACCCCAACTAGCGTACCACTCACGAAGCTGCTGGGGCGGGAGGGATTGACGCGGACGTCGCTGAAGCTGTAGCTGGTCACCGCCAGGAGTAGCAGTAGCAGTAGTAGCCGCAGTAGTAGCAGTAACAGCGCGGCTACCCCTACAACCCCAACTAGCGTACCACTCACGAAGCTGTTGGGGCGTGAGAGACTCACGCGGACGGCGCTGGAGCTGCATCTGGCCAAGCCAGGTGCAGCAGTAACAGTAGAAAGAGCAGTAGCAGCAGGAGCAGCAGTAACAGTAGAAAGAGCAGTAGCAGCAGTAGCAGCAGTAACAGTAGAAAGAGCAGTAGCAGCAGGGCAGTGCTCACCAGTGGCGAGAAGGGAAGAGTCCAGTTGCGGCTGGAGCTCAACGGCGGCGGCAGCTCGACAGCGGCGGCGGCTCGACGGCGGCGGCTCGACAGCGGCAGCGGCTCGGCGGCGGCGGCTCGACAGCGGCGGCGGCTCGGCAGCGGCGGCGGCCCGACGGCGGCGGCTCGACGGTGGCGGCTCGACCGCGGCGGCGACTCGACAGCGGCAGCGACGGCGGCTCGACGGCGGCTGTTGCGGCAGCGGCAGGGCCGGGGCGGCAGCGGCGGTGGCGACGACGGCAGCGGTGGCCGGCAGTGGCGGCGGCTGCAGTTGGCAGCGGCGGCGGCTGCACGGCAGAAGTGGCCGCTGCTGCTGCTGGGGCCGGGAAGGGGCCTGAGGGGCCGCGAAGGGCGGCAACTGGCGGCGACGGGGCCGCAAGGGCGGCGACGGGGCCGCTAGGGGCGGCAACGGGGCCGTGAGGGGCGGCGACAGGGCCGCTGCGGGCGGCGAAGGGGCCGCTGAGGGCGGCGACGGGGTCGCAAGGGCGGCGGCGGGGCCGCTAAGGACGGCGACGAGGCCGTGAGGGGCGGCGACGGGGCCGCTGCGGGCGGCGACGGGGCCGCTGAGGGGCGGCGACGGGGCCGCAAGGGCGGCGACGGGGCCGCTGGAGGGCGGCGACGGGGCCGCTGCGGGCAGCGACGGGGCCGCTGGAGGGCGGCAACGGGGCCACTGCGGGCGGCGATGGGGCCGCTGCGGGCGGCGACGGGGCCGCAAGGGCAGCGACGGGGCCGCTGCGGGCGGCGACGGGGCCGCAAGGGCGGCGACGGGGCCGCAATGGGCGGCGACGGGGCCGCTGAGGGGCGGCGACGGGGCCGCAAGGGCGGCAACGGGGCCGTGAGGGGGCGGCGACGGGGCCGCTGCGGGCGGCGACGGGGCCGCAGGGGCAGCGACGGGGCCGCAAGGGTGGCGACGGGGCCGCTGCGGGCGGCGACGGGGCCGCTGAGGGCGGCGACGGGGCCGCAAGGGCGGCGACGGGGCCGCAAGGGCGGCGACGGGGCCGCTAAGGGGGGGGGGGGGGGGGCGCGAGGGGCCGTGAGAGGGGCCTCTAAGAGGGCGCGACGCGACGGGAGGGCGGCCGACGGGGCGCGCCTCGGGCAGGGGCGATTCGCGCTCCGGGCAGGAAAAAAAAAATTATAGATTTTCAGTGGTGGGCCCTAGGAAGCGTTCCCACTAGGGAACCTGCTCTGATAACATGTTAAGAGTAGAACGAGAATGATTGAGTAAGGAATGAGCGTGATACAAATATGAAACCCTAGAATTGTGTACCCCTTAGTATCTAACCCGCTACAGCCTACACAGGCTAGATCATATAAGTCTGACAAGTGTCGGGTACAAGTATGAAACCTTATAAGGGGATGTACCCCATATTGGCTACCCCACTACAGCCTAAGAGCGTGTTCCTATCCTTGTATCAAGATAACCTCGTATCAGGCTCACACTGAAAATTCCCCTAAACCCAAAACCTCTCGCTAGTTTTACCAGGCAAAAACAGCATTCTTGATACGAGGTTTCCTGATATGAGGCCGTAGGAACACGCTTTCAAGCATATATATCATACATATAATTTGACTAACCAGTCGTGTGTCAATCTCAGGTAAACATCTGTCCAGTGGTAGTCTCAGTTTCCGTGCTGTGGCGGTGTTGATCAGGCTGTGGCTGGCTCCCCCGTCGACAAATATTTTAACTAAGGCTGTCCCGATTTTCCCATTAAGTAGTATGGGCATGTCTACCGTAATACCCTCCTTATTCGGCCGGGTGTGGTCGATTGCGTGAACCAGCACAATCACTCGGTGAGGGTCGGTTGGGTCGGGCGAGCGGCGTGACCTGTCAGTAGAGGGCCCGTCTACTACTGACTCCCAGCGTTTCCCTGCTGCTTGGTCTGTTTCTGCTGCTCGGCTTCCCCCTTTCCCTTAGCGTTTTCCGAGCATTCGCTCGTGCGTTGTCCCGGCCGATTGCACGCGAAGCAGCGCCCTTTGAACGGTGCGGCAGTGGCATTTGCGGCGACAGCACGTATCGTGGCGCCCTCGTTTGTCCCACGAGGTCGATGTCCCCAGTTGTTGCTTCCGTAGGAGCGGACTCGGTCGGCGAAAGAAGTCAAGTTTCTCCGCCATGGCAAGGATCTCCTGAAAATCAGTGATGCCGCGGAGCTGGATTTCCTGGGCGATGTCGTGCTTCAGGCCGCCGATGTAGCGGTCGATACGCTCGCTCTCGCGCATATATCCCACTTGCTCGCACAGCGCCAGAAACCCGCTAGTGTAGTCTTCGACGGAACCGAGTTGGTGCCAAATGCAGAGCTTCTGGCGTGAAGCGATCGAAGCCGCAATTGGCTCATATTGAGTGCGCAGACCTGCGCACCATGCATCTCACGTGCGATGTTAGGGCACCTCCACAAAATACGACGGCGCCCAGGGTCCGGTTTGTCCTAGCCGTGTCGGTAGAGCCGCGTAGTCGTTCGGCTTCGTGACGATGACACGCCACCAGTCCATGGCGGGTCCTCGCTGCAGCGACACGGCGTAACGGATCTTTGCCGTATCCTCCGAGACGTAGTTGGCGTCGAAAAACACGTTCATCGTGAACAACCACGCCTGAACGGTAGGACCACCCCGTTGACACAGGTCAAAACATGGCGGACGCTGCGGCATCGGTGACGGCAGTGCCGAATTGTTGATCGGTGCCGAAATCGTGACGCGGGGTTGGTTCCTGGCCGCATTCGTCGCTTCAGGGTGTGTCGTGCCGTGGTCGTCGTCTCCGTCTTGGCGGACGACGCCATCACTGGCCGCGCTCGCGGGTTGCCCCACACTTTCGTGCTGTGATGCTTGTGGTGCGGGTTGTACCGGAGTGCCAGGTGCTTGTGATTGCGCTTGTTGTGCTCGTGCGACGTCATTCTGCAGGGAGGTGCGTTCTGCCGTCAGCGCCGCGATTTCTTCAGAGTTTTCGTGCAGTTCTCGCAGCAGCTCGTTCAAGCGGTTCTGCGTGAGTGTCGTGACGTCGATGTGGTCGGCCATTACGAAGGGCGTCGGCTTGGCTTAGTCTAGGCGTAGTCGTGGCTGCACGCGTTTACGAGCGAACGCGAGGACAGCGGCTCCTAGGGGCTAAGGTGCGTGAGTCCCTTCGAGTGAAAAAAAACAGAAGTTGGTTTCCTTGGGTGCGGAGATGCGCGGTCCGAAAGAAAGTAGCTCTGAATACCAAGCGTTACGGGAGCAATGAATCGAGGTAGCGAGGATTGCACTAGAGTGTCAAACGAGTACAAAATGTGAGCGAAGGCATGAGCGAACATTTATACGCGAAACATGCAAACGGTAACGCGATGCGTGCGAGCTAGCCAGTGCTAGGCTGGCATCGAGGTTCGGGCTAGTCCTGAAGCGTAGGCCGACACGGCCGGGCCAGCGGTGCATGGTTTGGTGAAACAGTGCGCGCGAAGTTGGCGAAGTCCCGTTAGCAGTAACGGGTGAACAACGGTTGATGCTGTACGCGATGTTGTAGGTCGTGGTAAGGAATGTCGAGAAAATTCCTTAGGGCAGGTCACGTTTAGATGAACCTGACACGTTTAATGCGGTTCGGTGCTCTAGAGAGGGGTTGAAGAGGATTCTGTATTTCCACCAAAAGCTAACCGTATTTAATCGCTTTTTGACGTACTTGAACGCATTAAACGTACCAGGTTCATTTAAACGTGACCCGCCCTTTACATCTACCTTTACAACTCATAAGTACATGTTCTGAACGCCTTACAGCGCGTAAACTGTACTGGCTTTTGTAAGTGTCCACCTCGCGGGGACATTTCCATCGCACACGGCGATCTTTCAGATCTGCGATCCACAAGGCGGCGATGCCGCGCTGGCGTCACACATTTCTCCCGCGCATCCCGAATCGCCATCGCGTGGTTGGCGATCACCCGCCACACTGGGAAGAACCCCGTTGAGCCGAGCCTCCCGCCGCCGTGCTGCCCAAACCCTTTGGCCCACCACCAATCAGCTCGCCTCACCACCACTGCGGTGATCCTAGGGTGTTGGAATAAAAAAAATCGGTAACATACGTTTAGAAGAGATCCATTTTGATGACAAGCGGTGTCAGTACACGAGGTTGTTGTCACTTTCTGCATTCCGCGTGTGTTGGTAGTATACTGGATCGGGAAGCTGGGGAAGGTCGCTTGTGTGATCCTTGACCAGTTAGTGGTCACTGTTAGTCAGTACTAGCTACTAGCTTCCAAGGTTTGAATCCGATAGATTGGCTCGTCCTTTATACCTCGAGGTCAATACGTATCCCAGTTGTCCACATTCCCCTGTTCCTGGTTCGAGTTCAATGGGCATCCCTGTGCCTCAGCGATCCGACGAGATGGCAACGATGCCAGCAGCGATCGCACCAACTCCACCTGCGCCTGCACCATCCTCGCCGCACGACGGGCCTGCCGCCATGGGCGCTCTCGGCCTGCTTCGCCTCTTCTCCATCTGGCCGCCACCGCCGAAGGCGGCCCCCGCGTGCCCGTCCCAAGAGCGGCACGACGCGTCGTCCCACCCCATGCATGCTGGCTCTCCAGGGTCGGAGGGTGCGGCGGCGGAAGCGAGGGAAGCCGTGGAAGCCGCCACGTCTCTCGGAATCAGGGAGGAGATGGGGCAAGGCAATTCGGGTGCCGTGGCGTGCACAGCCATGGCCACAGACGACAGTGCGGCCGCAGAGCCAGCAGCGCTCGGAGAACAATCGCTCGAGCAGCAGCCCGTGCAATCGCCGTCGCACGGCAGCGCGACTAGTTGCGCAGATCCGGGCGCGTGTGCGCCACTGGAGCGCCCCTTCTCCCCCACGTGCGTGCTCGACCCGCCCGACTGGGCGACCGTGGCGGGCCTCGACAGCCTGCAGCTGCCGGCGCTGCAGCGACTCGCGTCGCACGGCGTCATTTGGAAGGACCCTGCGACGGGGTCCCTGCGACGCTTCACGCTACACTACGGCGGCGAGGTGGACGCGGACGGCAACTGCCTCTTCGCCGCGCTCAACCGCCTCGTACCGCATCACGCCGGCGCGGCGGGCCTGCGGCGGAGAGCGGTGCGACGGTTTATGAAGGAGTACGAGGCGGGCGTGGTGGAGCGCGCGCGCGTGGACGCGGCGGTGCGGCACCTGTACGCGCCGGACGTGGGCGTGGGGTGGGGCGTGCACGTGGTGCAGGAGGTGAAGCTGCTGGCGCCTCGCGCGCAGCGCAACGAGCTCATGGCGGCCGTGGGGCAGCTCGTCGACTGCGGCATGTCAAGGTGCGCCCGCCGCGCCACGCGCTTCGCCGGATCGCGGAATTGCTATTCTAGAGAATTCCCTAATATCCTCTTCCTTCCCCCCTCCCTCCTTTCCCGCATTCGCCCCACTCGCAGGGACCACGCGGTGGAGATGGTCGCGAGGGACCGCTGCCTGCCCGTCGACTGCGCGCGCCGCTGGGCGCACTACATGTCGCTCGGCGCGCCGCTGCTGCCCGCCGGCGCAGCGGACTCCTCGGGGGAGTGCGCGGGGGTGGCGGAGTGGGAGACGGAACGCGAGGCGGCGGGCGGGCACGACGTGGTGTCGCTGCAGTACGCGCAGGACGGCCTGCTCTCCGCCTCCGCCTCCTGGGACTTTTCGCTGTCCGCGCAGAGCGCGGAGCGGGTTGCGGGTGCGGGGGAAGCGGCGGCGGGCGGGGGTGGCGGCATGGCGGCGTTCGGCGACGACATGGCGATCGAGATGCTGGCGACGGAGCTCGCCCGCGAGATTATCGTCGTAAGCAGCTCCGCAGCCCCGCTGCCCCACTGCTCCCGCTGTTAATGAGCGAGTTACGCGCGTACCCGCGTTTCCATCAGTGCCGTTTGTCGTCGTCATCAGCAAGTCCCGTACCCTCAACCCCCCCGTCCCGCCCCCTCCCTTCCCCCGTGCGCGCGCGCAGGTGCAGGCGCACGGGCACGACGCGATGGTGGATGAGCAGTCGGCGCTCTTCTTCCTGCCGCACGCCCCCAGGGGCGCGCCGCTCTCCGTCGCGCACCCGCCGCTCTTCCTGCTCATGAAAGGCACAGGTGCGCGCACACGGGCCACGCGCGGGGTGACAGGTGAAGGGGTGACAGGCGGGGTGGGGTGACATGCAGGGTGCATGGGTGATTAAGGCATGCAATGGGGGTTTGCGAGGGTAACGACTTGTGCCATGGCAAGAGGGCTTCAGTGCAGTGCACAGGGATGGGGGCGTACCTGCCACCGCGCACCCCCTTGCTGCCATTCTCTCTACCTCAATTTCCTGCTCTCTCCCTGTCCCCACCCCACGCCTTCTCTCCCCTACCCCTTCAACCTGTGCTCCCCCGTGCAGCGTGGTGCGGGGCAGGCGGCGACCACTACGAGGCCATGGTGGCCGTGGACCAGGGCGAGGTGCCCGCGGGGGACGCACAGGGGCCGTGCGGCGCGGTTGTGCTGTGATGGGTGTGTGGTGTGGCGCTGCTGCACAGATGCGCACATGAGGTTAGAGGCCCACGCAGGGGTGTGGTGTGGTGTGGTGTGGTGTGGTGTCACATTGCTGGTGAAGCAGGGGCGGCACATTGCTCTAGTGCTGCCACCAAGGCTGCTTCACCCTTGATTTTGTAGGTATCCCGTTTGATTATTCTGCCACAGCCCAAGGCTGCTGGCCGCTCTAGTGGTCTCTTAGGCATGTAGCCTTGCGCTACGCTTCCTTGCGCCCCATTCTCGCAAGATCCATGTGAAAGAGTGCTTGGATGCATGGTGTGGTGTGGGGAGAGTCGGCACGTTGCTCTAGTACTGCCTCCTTGACTGGTTTTGTAGGGATGACATTTGACTTGCTGCCACAGCCGAAGGCTGCTGGCCTCAGTGCTTGCTTAGGCCTGCGTTGTGCTATACTTTTGAAGAATAAATAACGCGATGTTTTCAGGTTGCCAGCATGAGCACCTGCAGCACAAGCAATGCTGGCACCCACCCACCCAAGCCACAAGCAGTGGAACAATTACACAGTTATACAGGCCCCCCTTACTAACCCACCCTTGCTCCAATCCAATGTCACAGCCAGCATTCCCTGTAAATAAAACAGCAAGCCCCACAAGCAGCCCACCCTAGTACCACCCGCCACCACCCTGCAGCGACAGCCACCCACGCCCGAGCGAGTCAAGGAAGCTAAAACGCGGGAACTGTGGGCGGCCCATGCGGTGTGAGAAGAAGAACCACCCGGCGCGTGCACGTGCATACGCCGCCAGCTGTGCGGACGCCAGACCCGCCATGCCCGCATCGTCCACACTGTCATGCCCCTCCACCGCCAGCGACCACTCGCCCACCATCGCCACACGCTCGCTCCCCGCCGGCTGCAGCAGCCCCAGCTCCTTCACGCGCGTCGTCAGCACAAAGCTCAGCACCGCCGACAGGTTGCCTGAAGCAGCGCCGGCGCCGCCCCAAGCGTCCCCCGTGGCGGCCGTGTTGGCAGCAGGGTCGGTAGCAGCGGGATCTGTGGCGGCTGCAGCGGGAGTGGCGGTGGACTTGGGGGCGTCATGGAAGATGTTGTAGAAGTGCTCGTCGTGGATCACATTCGTGAACTGCGCCTCGTCTGCCAGGAAGTCCAGCACCTCCGTCGCCTCCGCGCCCACGCGCGCGCTGATCGCCACGTACGCGCACTGCGAGTGCGCGCGCACCGCCGCGTACGCGCGCTCGTAGTAGTTCCCTAGAGTCTCCGCGGAGATGGCCTCTTCCAGCGGCTCGTTGAGCAGCGCGATGCCGGCGAAGGCGTCGTTGGTGGCGTAGCGCTGGGCGAACCAGTCGATGGCCTCCACCGTGCGGTCTATGTTCACCTGTGATGCTGCCCAGTCCGGGATGCCGTCCCGCGAGGCTGAGTGCTCGTACCCGTTCTGCGACCCCGGTGCTGCGTGCAGGGAGAGCATGACTCGCATGCCGTACCTGACAGGCACGACGAGGTGGGAGATTGAGAGAGGGTCGGAGTGAGATACATAAAAGATAGGGTGGAAGTTGAGGCGCAAGGCGAGGCAGTTTGTGCAATGAGCATGAGAAGGATGGGAGAAGAGGAAGGCTATGGAAAATAGAGAGCGGGTGGAGTGCGAGCAGAGCAAAACACATGCGTTGTAGTCACCTCGCCCAGCACTAGTCCTTCACAACCACTCAGCTCAACAACACGCGAGCACCTGCACTCAACAGCTCCACCATCGCACACCCAACTAGCATGCCATTGGGAAGGGTCCCCAACATGGCACTCACTTGGCGGCCATGTCAAAGGCCCAGTCGAGGTACTTGAGCCCGCCCTTGCTGAACGGGTACAGCGGGCCCCCCGCACCCACATCCCCCTCCGCCTTGCCCTCCTCCGCAATCCAGTACCCCACGGGCACGCGCACAGCGTTCACCCCCGCCTGCTGCAGCGCGCCAAAGTGCTCCTCCGTAACCCACGTGCTGCGGTGCTGCTCCAGGCGCTTCTCCACCTCGTCCGGCCCCCAGTGCCGCCCCATCTGCCACTCGCCGCGCACCGCCGTGTTGTGCACGAGCAGGAAAGCCACGCCCGTGGTCCACGCCCAGCTGCCCACCGCCGTGTTCACCTGCTCCGCCGGCACGGACGCCGTCACGCTGCCGTCGTCGTTGACGGACAGGAAGCGCCCGTTGGGCGCCTGGATCATCACCCACCGCGCCTCCGCGCCGTGGAACACAAACCGAAACGTCTCCAGGCCTTCCCCGCCCGGATTCGCCACGTCGCTGCGCACCTCCGCCATGCCCCCACCGCCTCCCGCTGGCGCTGCTGGGGCGCCAGAGCCTGCAGCAGCGGAGGCGTTGGCGGGCGGGGAGGAGGAATTGTGCAGCGACCAGAAGGAGAAGTCGAGCGAGCGCACCTCGTGCAGGTGGCGGTCCTCCAGCGTGAGCGTGCGCATGTGGAACGACGCCCAGTCGCCCGGCTGCATGCCCTTGGCCACCAGGCGGAACCCATTCGCGGGGTCCACATGCAGGAAGCTGCCCGTGTAGAGCGACTGCAGGGAGAACTGCAGCCCGTCGATGTACACAGGCACACGGCGGAACAGGTCCGGGCGCAGCCAGCCCTCCAGCACCAGCCACCCCGGGAGGCCCACGCCGCGGAAGGCGGGCAGCTGCATGGCCTCGCGCACGGCGAATGCCTCGGCGACGTCGCGGTTGCGCGAGCGCATGAGGATGCCCGACTCCTCCACCACTATGAACGACCCGTCGCTGCACTGTATGCGCGCCTTCTGCGGTATGCCCTCCACCTGATGGGACGGCCGTGCACGAGGGTAGCATGCGCCGTGGGGCAACGTGGTGGTGGGTGGAAGAGAAGGGAAGGGGTTGGTGGAGAAGGGAGGCAGCGTGGCGTGGCGTGGTTATGCAAAGCACATGGTGACTGACAGCAGAGACACCACACGCACAAACGCACCTCCACTACCCCCTCCCTCCCTCCCTCCCTCCCTCCCTCCCTCCCTCCCTCCCTCCCTCCCTCCCTCCCTCCCTCCCTCCCTCCCTCCCTCCCTCCCTCCCTTGACCCCACCCCATGAGAGCACCATGAGCCCACGCACGCACCACTTCAATGGAGAGCAGCGAGGCGGGAGTGGCGGAGGCGTCGAGCCCCGTGACAGTGAGCTCGCGCGCGCACGTCAGGTACGTGCAATGGGGCGTGCGCAGGCGCACCGCCCCGCTGCCGTGGCCCTGCGTGTCCTCGCGCTCCACCGTGTAGAACTCACTGGCGGGCGCGCCCTCGTGGTACGCGCCAGGCTCCGCCCACCGCCCCGCTGGCAGGCGCGGCCCCACCCACAGCCCGTTGGACGCCTGCAGCTGCACCTGCGCTCCGTGCTGCCGTGGGAGGACAGGGCAGCGCGGCACCATGGGCAGGAAGGGCGTGTGCGCCATAAGGCGCGGGGGGGAGGAGGACGCGGGTATGAGAGTGAGAGAGGCCATGAGCCCCAGATTCCAGAGGCGACAGGGTACCTCTGAAATGCCCTGGGTGCGAGTGACGCGCCTAGATAACCACTCGCACATGAGCTAAGAGCTCACTTGGTTCCTCCCATGTTGTTTGCCCGGGTTCCGCCACTCACTCATCTGCACACCCATCTGTAGGAGGCACGACCTGTGCTTGCAGCGCCTGTGCTGTGGCCCATCGGCCCCTCATGCTCCCCCCACTCACTTGCCTGGCGCGCGCCACCCTCCCTATGCTCAACACAACAACCACCCACACACACACTCTAAAACGAAGGGGGGCCGCAGAGTGGGAGGGCGCGGGGGGGGAGAAGGGGAAGGGAGTGGGCGCGGGGCGTACGTGGAGCGCGGCGGACCACCAGACGGACGGCATGGTGGCGGTGCTGCCCGCCACGGCAGGCGCGCGCGAGCTGCAGCACGGCCCTGCACACGCGCCCTCTTCCTCCCCGCCTGTCCCGCCCGACCCGTCCGCGCTCGCCTGCTCCCCCCCGCCCCCCTCCCCCTCTGCGCCGTCGCCCCCCTGCGCGCTGCTCTGCTCCCCCCACTGTGACTGCGCGGGGGGCGCGGGAGCCGCCTGCGACACTGCCGGGTCCATGGGGGGAGGCGCGGATCTGACGAGTGCGCATGGGGGGGAGGGGTGGAGGGGAAGGGGGGAGGGGGGGAGGGGAGAGGATGGGAAAGAGGGCGTGAGGCGGCGGAAGGGAGTTCAGTGCAGTGCGGGACAATGCAGCAAGGCAGGCAATGCAGCGCGGGGCAATGCAGCGCGCGGGCGCGCTATGGGTGTGTGAGGACGCGGGAGCATGGGGGGCAGGAGCGCTAGAGGAAGGGGACGACATCCATGGCAGCACATGCATAGCGCAATGTGTGTGCGGGGCAATGCAGCGCGCGCGGGTGCCGGGCGCGCTGTGGGAGTGGGACGACGCGGTGCAGGGAAGGGGACGACATCCGTGGTAGCACATGCATAGCGCGGCTTACGCACGCACTTGTTCATGGCGCCCGAGAGCCAGAGCACGAGCAGCAGCGAGCTAGACACGAGCAGCCCCACCAGCGCGCACGCCAGCACCACGCGCTCGCACGTCCAGAAGTGCTTGCCGCCGCGCATCGAGTAGTCGCGCAGCGTGCCGCCGTGCGACGGGCTGGGCTCGCCCACGGTGCCCGCGATGGGCATCGTCTCCTCCTCGCCCACCATCGACGACGGCATGCCGCCTCCCCCGCCGCTCCCCCCGCCGAACAGCAGCCCGTTCAGGCGCGAGCTCGCGGGGCCGGTCAGCGAGTTGCCGAAGGCGGACCCTTCCCCCCCCAGGCTGCCCGCGCTGCTGCCCGCGTCGCTCTCCACACCGGAGATGCCGACAGCGCCGTGGCCCGGCCGGCCGAACCACACGGTCTTGCGGTCGCGCTCCTGGAAGCTTCCGGCGGAGCTGCTGCTGCCCGCGCGGCGCTTCGGCGGAATGCCGATGAGCAGCTCCGCCGCCGCCTCGTCGCCGCCCGCGGAGAAGCGCGACGAGCCGCCGCCGAAGGCGCTCGGGGAGGCGGAGGACGCCGGCGCCATGAGCGGCGACTGCTGCTGGAGCTCGTCCGTGTACGAGCGCGACACGCCCCCCGACGTGCGTCGCGGCGTGGACCGCGCGGACCCGCCCGACGGCATGCTGGGGAGGGCTCGGCGCGCTGCGTGGCAGGATTTAGAGAGACGGGTACGTTAAGGTTGGGACAGATATTAGACGGAAAAATTACTGGAGTGCCACGTAAGCTGTCGAATTGAGGTGTCTACGAGGTAATGACGAGCGAGCTTGTTGTGCGGTGGGGTGGACCGTGGATGTGAACGAAATGAAACAGTGTCGAACGTGGGGGTTGTTGGCTATAGGGCTGTGACGTGAATGTCGCATGCTCGACGTACGCGCTGTAAAGCTGTTGCCCACTTTCCGATATGAAGTATCTCCCTACATAGGTGCATGTATTTGTATACCACTCATTGAGGAAACAATAGATGGTACCACTTCTTTACCCTGTGATGAAATCATTGTACTAAACTGTGGTCCATTTCGTAGATTGGTTGGTCTAAGCCACTGGCTAGAGTGTACCAGTTCAATTGTTTATGCCCCTTTTCATTTCCTCTCTGTAAAACCACTTTATGGTGGTCGTTTCCTGAGCAACACTCGACCCCAGGGCCTATGTTATCAGGATAATTTATCCTGGTTCTCCTGAATTCAGGATAGGTGTCGTGTGCTTCTCCTGAAAAAACAGCATAAGGGAATTACTTGTCCTGTAAAATCAGTATAATGGTTATTTTGCGTACTGAAAACTCAGGATAACGCTGTAGGTTCAGCCCTGACGACTCAGGATAATGTCGAATCTCGCCCTGAAGCGAGATGTACTGTATTAAAAATCTCCTGGGTTTCGGGGCCAAAAGTACGCAAGGCAAACCTTTCGGATGTTGGAGCCAGCGGGAATCGGGCAGGCAACCTACTGCGTAGCAATCTTTCGCTTTACCCACTACAACACTTCATGTTCGATTTGCAGAAAAACAAATTAATTACAATATGTTTCTGCGCCAGCTTTTCCATCCAATTCGGCCCACGATGTTCACCGCCACCTACGTTATCTCCTTGTACTGTGCTGTAACACTTTCGCACCATGCAGCTGCCAGCGACTTGCACTGCCAGCCACTTGCAGCTGCACCCCAGAATTACACACTTCGAATGTGGAGAGCATTTCGATCCCCGCTAACATAACACGAGCGAAATATACAGGATTGTACGAAATGTAGCACTGAGCTGCCAGGATACTCTCAAATGTAGCACTGACATTTCAGGATACCTCACCCTGTGCAGCCCTGACAATTCAGGGCAGATTCTGATTTCCTAAAAACTGCCCTGAGGCCTCAGTGTACCCCCAAACGAATCTGAGGGCCTGCTTGACCCCCACTCCCCCCCCCCCCCCCCACCCCCTCTCTTCCTGTTGGAAATCCGAGTACAGTATAACGAATACTGTATACTAGTGTGCTGTTCGGTTTTAGTGTAGTCCCCTTTATAAGCCTCCAGGTCCTACAATAATGGTCGCAATTATTGTAGAGCCACAATTATTGGAGCCTAGCAGTATTGGAGGGTAGAGGGTACCTAGAATGATTGGTACACCATAATTGGTGTGAATGGGGTCATTCTGGAGGGGTAGCTGGATGCATATATGCCCTGCTGTGTCACTTCATTCCATGATTCCACTTTTCAATTATCAATGCAAGAGTTCTATCATTTTCTTTTCTACAAACATGTTTCCGCTACGCTGGCACTATGCCTTTCTAGCACTTCCCCCCCCCCCCCCCATCCCCCACCCCCTCTCTTCCCCCCCCATCCCCCACCCCCTCTCTACCCCCCCCCAACCCCCCACCCCCTCTCTACCCCCCCCCAACCCCCCACCCCCTCTCTACCCCCCCCCCAACCCCCCACCCCCTCTCTACACCCCCCCAACCCCCCACCCCCTCTCTACACCCCCCCAACCCCCCACCCCCTCTCTACCCCCCCCCAACCCCCCACCCCCTCTCTACCCCCCCCCAACCCCCCACCCCCTCTCTACCCCCCCCCAACCCCCCACCCCCTCTCTACCCCCCCCCAACCCCCCACCCCCTCTCTTCCCCCCACCATTCCCCACCCCCTCTCTTTCCCCCCCAATCCCCCACCCCCTCTCTTCCCCCCCCTCCATCCCCCACCCCCTCTCTTCCCCCCCCACCCCCCACCCCCTCTCTTCCCGCCCCATCCCCCACCCCCTCTCTCCCTCCCCCCCTACACCCCCTTCCCCTCTCCCCCCCCCCTTCCCCCCCTCCTCTCTCCCCCTCCCTTGGTCCCAATGTCAAGTCAGTTCAGGCTAATTATTCGTCCCTCCCTGAACGTAAAATGCAAGAACATTGCTGGGCAGCCAAAGAACATGCATATCCATGGTCACACACATGTCCAACTTGCACTCACACCACCACCCACACACCTACTCTTCCTGTCCCTCCCTTCCCCCACCCCTCCACCCAGAAGACAACATGCAAAGCACACACTCGCGTGCTCTGGCGACGCACACACCAAGTGGTTGCTACTGGCAACAGGCCAGCTTGAAGCTCAGGCAGCCATAGGCGTGAGTTGGTACATAGACTCTCTTCCTTGATATATCGAGTCTGACTTCAGAGAGGATATCTCAGCTGCTGCACTGCTCCCCCACGCCCCTCCACCACCATCACGGTTCCCCCCCGACGCACCGGCCTCCTCCCCCGCATGCACCTTGCAGGCGGGCTGCTGCCACTCGCCCGTGCCAGCGAAGCGCAGCCCGTACACCACACAGGCCGCGGCACCGGGTGCGGTGGTGCCTGGCGTGTCGGGGGCGGGGATGATGATGTCGATGGACTCTATGGGGCGGCGGTCCAACTCCATGTCCCGACACAGGCTCTCCACGCCTGCCACACACACCGAGGGAAGGCGAGGGACAAGGACGGATGAATTTGATTCTTGTGAGTACCTCATGGGGTGGGAGTGCACCGTTGAGAGTCCAACAAGGGAGGAAATGCCATAGGGAGTCAAGCTATGTGGGTTGACAGGATTCCTGGGAATGCCTTTTTGTTGAAATCTAGTCATTGTGACAGGTAGCGCCATATCAAGGTACGTACCCTGCCAGTTGAGGCATGCACTGGGTGGCTCGGCTGCCGTGCTGTCCTCGTTGGTGTCCTCGGCTGACAGCGCCTGCTCCGCACCGTGACACCCCGCCTGGGACCCGCTGGACGCCACAGACCAACCACTGCGCGTCTCCCCTTGCCCAGCGCCGCCCGTGGGAGGCGCGGGGGAGGCGGGCGCAGCGGGGGCGGTGAGTCGGTCCCACGTGCGTGGTTTGGCGTCGGTGGTGACGTCAGCGGGTGGAGGGGCACCGGAAGTTAGCTGCGCCGGTGCGGCGAGTGCGGGCGACGGCTGGGTGAGCTGCTGCAGCGACTGCAGCTTCTGCAGCAGCGCGGGCGGCAGGTTGCGACCGGCTGCGAGGGACGAGGCAAGGCAGGGCGGCACGGGAGGGACGCACGGGAGAAGAGGTGAGGAGCGGAATATCTACGAAAGAGCGACAGGATTGAGTCTGCTGATTGCGTGAAGCATGTGAGAGGCGGCAAGCCAAGCGGCAAGCCAAGCAGCAAGTGGTGTCGTGGAATGAAGCCTGCGCAAGGTGCCAGGGCTACTCTCATCTCATCCAGTAACGCTTCCCACAACACACACGCACACAACAACTCACATGCTGGTAGCCGCAGCGCAGAAGGCCCTCGTTGCGCCCCAGGCTGCGCCGCTCCCCCGCGAGCCGTCAAACCCACCCGCCCGTACGCCACAGGCCCCGACCGCGCGATTGGCGCCGACAGGAAATCCGCGTCGCACGCCCCGCCGTCGCCGTCCGTGGAGGAGGCCTCGGGCGACATGGAGCTCGCCGACTCTCCACCCGTCGCACGCGCGAACCCCCCGCCGTTGGAAGGGGCGGTTCCGCTGCTGCTGCTGGGCCGGCGCAAAGCCGCCACGTTCCGCGGCAGCACCGCGGTTTGCGGGACCACCGCGGATGGGTACAGGAGCTGAAGCTGCTGCGGCTGCTGCCGTAGGTGCGGCAGCTGCTGCTGTAGCGGCGGCTTCGCCGCCTGCTCTCTACCCATCGCACCCGATATAAGGCCAGCTTGCATCTCAAATTGCTCCATGGAACGCTGCCCGCCGCTCGACGAGGCTCGGCGGGAGCCGACAAAACTGTTGCTGCCTTTGCCGCTACTGATGGACGGAAACAGCGGCACGTTACCCGCGTTGCTTGTGCCATCCGACGGGTTCCACGCCTTGGTTCCGCTGCTACTGCACCGATTCAGCGCGCGCGCTTCCGCCGCATTGACGCCGCCCATCGCCCCGTACTCGGGGAACGCTCCCCATTCGGCGCCGGGCCCCCCCTGAGCAAGCGGAGCGGCAAAGGTCGCGAGGCGTTGGGGCGGGGGGAAGGGCATGGAGTGAGTGAACAGCGCGGGGAGCTCGCCCGCATTCCATGCCGCCGCCCCTATCGGCCAAAGCGACTCTTCCGCTGCAGCTCCGCCAACCCCCTCGTTGGCGGCATGCGGATGGCGATTCCCTCCCGAGCCTGGCCGACTGGCGCCGGCGCCGCTAGTGATCCCGCGCACCCTGGCGCGCCTCTCCGCATTGGCTGCGCCGTCAGTCTTGGCGCGCAGCAGCTCCCCGCCCAGCCACTCATCGTCCTCGGTCGTCTCCTCCAGCATGGCGAGGCGCGACAGCTCCTCGCGCATCAGCTCGCCCGCACTCCTCTCCGCCTGCGCCGCGCCCGGACTTCTTCCCGAGCCGCCCAGAAACTGGTTAACGTCAGGGCCTCCCAGGCGCTGCGATCCTGCGGCATTGGACGCGTCGCGGAACGACGTAGAGCCGTCCATGCTCGCGCGGCGGTACTGCTCGGAGAGCGCGGCCGACGGTGGCGACGTGTTGAAATCCAGCTTGATGTCGCCGTCGCTGATGCCGCCCGGGCTAGGCCTCGGCGGCACCGCTGACGACGTGGGAGCTGCCGATGGCCGGCCCCCGCCTTCCGGGGCGTGGTTCGCGGCGGCTGTCGTGTTGTCGCTTCGGCTGCGCGAAAAGGGGGCGCCTGAGAAGAAAAGGCGCGTTCTGCTGGAGCGCCCTCGCGCGGTGTTGGGCGACGGAGGCGACATTATGTGGAATGTCACGCTGTAGTCGTGATGTGGGAGGCGGTCTCGCTGGTCGTGGTATTTTCAACGCAGATTCTTAAATCTCGGCGGGCATACGCAGGGTAGATGGCGCACTCGATAGCTTTCTCCAAGAAACGAGCAGACACAGAAACGTGTTTAGAATGAGCTGGGAAAGGGGCGGAGGAACGTGGTGTCGATTGCGGGCACGGAAGAGAGAACGTACTCCACCAGCTCACAAGAACGCCACCTATGGCGTCTGCAAGTTATTAAAAGTGAATGGAGAGGTGAAACCACAAGACAGGAGCCGAGCAGAGACAGGAGTTCAAGATGTGGATGTGGGATGTGGCTTGGCATAAACGAAGGGGCAGCAAGCATGAGGAATGTGGTGGCATTGGATGGAGGGACCAGAAAAAACAGCGAGAACACCGAGGGGGCAGTCGCGGTAACCGAAAAACCGCCGCGTTATTCTGATGGTTTTCTCTGAATGCGGCGCCACTGCACTATGTGGGGGACGCCAAACCAAACATGCGAGAAAGCTGAAGGGACATGCCAAGCCACACAAACACAACTCGATGGATGAGCAACAAGACAGCCGCTGCATGGTTCCGCCGGACATGAAGATTTCGGATTCATCGGATGTTACGCTGGTGCAGAAAATATTTCCATTTCCTGTCACTTCAGTCAGACGCACACGTACTGTACTGTCCCTGAGTCTTGACGAGTACAGTACGACACCAGTGTTCATCAACCTGGAGACCCATAATGAAGTAACACGGGTAACAATGGTATCCGTTTGATTTTTTGTGAAAAGAAAATATCATTAGCCCGATAGTCGCAGGGTAACAGTTAACCAGAAGCACCTGACTACCCTATTAAATACACTGGACCGCGGACAGTGATACGAAGGCAGCTGGAGTAAGGAATTTCCAGCTGTTGCAGTTGCTAAAGGTTACGGTGATTGGGTTCCAGGTGTGTCCCAGAAGCAGAATTCAATGTTTTGGATGTGCACATTTGGCGTCATCCTAACAGAAGATAAGCTCAACATGCTTCTGTACCTCCCTCAGTTCCAGTTGCGGCAGAGCTGGAGATGTGTGCGATCATATGACTGCCTCTGACAATTCGACAACGTTTTCCAAATCAACTCTTGAAACGGGTGAATGGCGAGGCAATGCGATGTGCTCCCTGCCCAAATCACATAATCTCTGCTTCCAATCAGCAATGGGCACGCACCCCAGCCAGAATGGTCGTAAGCCACAAGAATGAAAACCCTACAGACAGTTTTACTGTACAACTCTCACCATCTCAAACCCAGAGCACTCGAGCATGTCGTTTTGTAACGACTCTCAAGTGAAAGAAATCCACAACAGACACAATCTCCAACTTGGCCTTCACCTCCAAAACGAAAAACGAGGCTCGGTACAGGTAGGGGTCACAAAGTCTTGCAACCCAGAGCAGCCTCGAGACCGAGGTTCGGTTAGGTTAAGGTTATATTTGGTCGTAACCAGTTACAACAAAGCATAGAGAAGCTAGAAATATGGTCTACACAAACCAACAGCCCAAAGGCGTACATAGGAAACACGTTATTTCTTTATCCCGAAGGATAACCACCAGCACGGCTGGGGAGCTCTCTATGCTTAGAAAAGGAAGGACTAGGAGGGTCGGAAGGGGTCCCCAAGCAGCCAGGAAGAGCGGAGGTCCGGGTGAATAGTAGGGGTTCCGTTGTGGTCGAAGACGAGGAAGCGGAGTCGAGTGGCCAGCTTAATACGAGCAGCTGAGCGACGTTGTTTTTTCGCTGATTGTTTCTTCCTTCGCCACGGGAAGATCTTGAATGCAATGAGGAAATGTGCCAGGATGAGCTGAAGAATCTCAAACCGAGAGGAGGGCGAATCTTGGAACTTGTGTTCACACCGCACGTTCCAAATAGCTTTTGCAGATGCCCCAACCAGAAGGCTCCAGGGGGCCACCTGGCCAGTTCTGGAGGCTAGCAGAAAGAGCAAGAGTTCAGGAGGAGGGGAGAGGTGTAGGTGACGACGAGCGACGGAGGAGAGAGCGGAGATCACTGCAGGGGCAACCTCACACTCGGAGAAGATGTGGGAGATAGTCCCTGTTGGTGCGGCAAGGCAGAGCGAGAAAATCCCTCGGTCTGCGGCAAAGCTGAAATGCGAACCCGAAGGAAGAGCGCGAGTATAGAACCGGTACAAGACGTCGCACTGGAGGCTGGGTTGCTCGCGTAAAAAGTCGTGGGAGAAGTCAGGGATGAGATGAGGAGGAGCGGGTAGGTCGTGGATCCAGCAGGCGGCGTGGTCGAGGGGAAATTTAGTGTAGAGGCTGTTGTAAAGGACTCTCCTCTACTTTACAGGAACTTGGAGTATTGGAATCAGTAGAACACTATTTTAGCTTTCCAACGGGCCGTAGATCACCTTGATCGCCTAAGTATCGAGCGAGATATGGCTACTAACGTGAAAGCTATGCTCTATGTTGAAGGATTGGAAACTCTCTGGAATTTGTTGTCGAATGCACTGTGTACAAAGTGATTCATGGTTTCCAGTATGATTTATGCAATACAAAGCAAACACATTTATATGAACTGCAGAACTTCGAATCGCACATGTAACCCCGCGGTACACTCGAATGTTCAAGTAACATCGAAGGGGTGAAATTCGACTCTCGAATTTCACCGAATCAAATTCTCCTTGAGTCTCGATTCTTCTTGTGCTGCCATGTGGAACCGAAGTGCAAGTCCTCCGAAGTCAACCTGCACCTTCTTGACAGCCTCCAACCTTCGTGTAACTTCTAGCTTGCAACTCACTCAACCGTGAGCACTAGAAGTAACCCGTTCGGTGGGTTGGGGGCATACAACCACCCCACCACCGCCTTGCTTCCAACACACGCAAACTCCAACACTCCCCTTTGCACCCAACCCACTAGGTGTGTAATTCATTATGCTTGTAGCACGCACGGGATGGATCTTTAGGTGGTGGTTCCATGAGAGATTCCGCGTGTTCATCATCACCCTTGGTCGCGAAGCAATATACCACGCCCTCCTTATCCGTCTCCTCAACGGCTACCGTAGCATAGTCGGCGTACTTGGAATGAGGATGAACCTCACGACGCCCGCGGGTCAAGGCCAATGGTAGGGAGGAAGGTGTGAAGGTATTTGCTGCCTCGGTTGGTGACACCTCCACATCATCAACGCTCTCCTCGTTGTTCTCTCCCCCTCCATCTGCTTCCTTTTTCTACTCGAGGTAGAACCTCACTTTCTTCAACCTCCTCTCGTGCCGGAAGGATGAAGGTAACTTGTTGAGTTGGTTTCTCCTTCGCCAAGAACTTGTCTTCGTCGAAGACCACATCCCGAGACGTGACGACGCGTTTTTCTCCCAAATCCCACACTCGGTATGAACGCTCATTCGCCGCAATTCCCAAGTAGATCGCCGCACGAGCTTTTGGTTGCAACTTGTGGTGAAGTGGGTCCGGTACATGGTAGTAGCAAAGGCACCCGAAGGTGCGTAGGAGGGAAAGGCTTCGTTCCGGTCCATGCTTCGAACGGAGTCGTTCCCGGTAGCACCTTGGTCGGCACACGATTACGAATCCATGCCGCTAGCGCATTCGCCTCTCCCCACCACTCGTTCCCAAGCTTGGAGTGTTGAAGAAGTGAACGAACGGCCTCCATCAACGTTCGATTAAGCCGCTCCGCCGCTCCATTTTGTGAGAAGAAACAAGGAATGAATGAACTATGAATGAATTGGGTACAAGTACTAACCCTAATTGGGTTGTACCCCTTATGGGCTACCCCACTATAGCCTACACAATATGCATAAGCTATAATATTCTGACACACCCCCATAGGCAAAGTGGGGGAGAACAAGGGGTCACAAGACCAGTCAAGCAAAGTAAAGCAAAGCAAGCTCAGGGTGGATCACAAAGTCACCACACATTCCGAGCACAAGTTCAAGGCCACAAGGCCAGTTCACATGCAGGAGTACATATATATATAAAGGCTAGACAAGCAAGAGCAGGTATACATGTATGTAACAGCACAAGCAAGGTCAAGAGGTGAGCAAGTGAGGCAAGGTAGGCACAAGGCCCAGCTGAGTACAGAAGCGCTGATGGTCACAAGGCGCAAGCGCCTTGGTGAAGATATCAGCAGTGTTGGCCTCAGAGGCCACGTACGCAAGACGCAGCTGACCACGCTGCTGCAGCTCACGAGCAAGAAAGTAGCGGAGAGCAATGTGCTTCGTTCTGTGCTCCAGTCGCTGCTCCCGACACAAGGCCAGCATGGCCTTGTTGTCTACGTACAGCACTGGAGGAGAACGAGGCAGCTCTCCGAGGTCAGTCAGCAGGTAGGTGAGCCAGCGAAGCTCCTGTGCAGCCATGGCTCCTGCGTAGATCTCAGCCTCACAACTGGAGCCGAGAACAGAAGACGAGCGGGTAGCCCACCACGAAACAGAGCCGGAACCAAGGCTGAAGGTGTAACCCTGTGACGACCGCTGCGTAGCCTGGTCGTCAGCCCAAGAAGCGTCTGCGTGCCCAGTAAGGACCACTGGACTCTGCCCTCCAAGCACAAGCCCCATGCCCGACGTACTGCACAAGTAGCGCAACACCCTCTTCGCTGCAGCCATGTGCTCCGGTCTGTGTCTCCCAGGAGCAACATAGCGTGCAAGAATGCTAAGAGGGTATGCAAGGTCAGGTCGTGTGCAGGTCATCAGGTACATGAGGCAGCCAACAAGCTCTGGGTACGGGCCACTCGACTCTACGGACTCATCCGAAGGCAGAGCTGAGAGCGAGTGGCGAGTAGGCAGAGGAGTGGCCTGAGGCGAGGAGTACGTGAAGCCGAAGCGCTGAAGGACCTGCTGCACCATGTGTGACTGAGTCAGGGTAGTGGTGCGGCATGCTCTGTCCCGAGTGATCTGCAAGCCAAGGTAGCTGCGCAGTTCACCCAGGTCAGTGCACGTGTGTCTCTTCTGCAGCTCGGACTTCACGTGGGCTAATCCAGCAGTGTCAGC